ACAAAGAGTTTCATATAAAGCTGGAGCTCTAAAATTGGAATGTCGCAAATAAAGACAGACAATAATGATAATAAATATGATCTGATATAATTTAAATTCATACAAATCTAGTATTATGAAGCTTGATTTTGGTCAGAAACAAGAAAATCATTAATATTTAAGTTAGAGATCAAGTTTGATAATGATTTTTTAATGAACAAATTAAATCGTCATTAATAAAAATTAAAAAAATGTTTTGCAGCTATCGGATGAATTGTAAATGTTTAGGTCTATATTACACAGAAATACATGCATCACATTGCATCTCATGTTGTTCGTAGCCAGAAGGGCGTTAACTCAATAGGACATATCGTTACATACAGAGTTAACTCCCTTCTGGCTCTATACAGACCTTAATGTATGCACTATTCTTCATATTTTGTCTGGTAAGATAATTATGAGGGATAATTTGTCCTTTAGAAAGAAAGGGCTTAATAAGGTATAATAAATTATTGATGGCCTTCATTTTTTCCAGGTCATGATATAATGTATTTTCTTTCGCCTCTCACTTAATAAACAAAGAAAATAAGTTCGAAATACAAATACGGTTGAATCATAACTCCTATTTAAGTCTGAATATGATTGTATTTACAGATTTCCATTTCATCTCGGTATATCTCATTCCTACGTTCTCGACAATTCCCAGCCGACAACAAGCCTCATCGCTACCCGTCGCCGGACTGTCGTAAACGCCCCTGCAATTACAGTTGAATAACAGTTATCGTTCAAATTGTTATCTTTAATTCGCAATCTTCCGAGTTCCTTGGTCCACTGGGGGTACAATTCGCTTGAAGCTATTCGGTGATATATCGTTCAATTATTATCAAACTCGTTTTGGAGGCGAATTAGCAAGCTCGAATAGAGGGCAATGAAATTGGATTAACAAATATGCCTAGACACTGTTGCATTTACTGTGACATTTATAACGATAGCACGATGTTTGCATACTTCATCATTTTGGGGCTGTTTTTAACTCCTTTTTTTTTTAGCGATATTGAATGCCACTTTTTATTGGTTTGATGGTTTGTTTAACCTGACTGCTAAGAAAGCATGTGTATATGCTTGTATAAAGCAACCAGGGGACCGACGGCTTTAAGTCCTCTCCAAGGTACTTGGTGATGAGGATTAATGCCTTACCAAGGGGCACCATCATTATAGTGCATCGACTTGGTTTCGAACCTGGGACCCCCCGGTTTCGAGTCCACTGCTCTTCCACTGAGCCATCGCGTCTCCTTATTGCATTTATTGTGAAAATAACTCTTTAACTGTTATCAATCAACACATACGTTTGATGAAAATATCAATACTTGGTTAAATGTTTGGCCATTCGAATGATTTATTTTACTGGACTTTCATTCAAATCGTTCAAATTTTAAAGAGAAGGTTGAGTTCTGGGAAGAGGTGAAAAATAATTTGTGAGCATTACTCATTCTTATTATGCAAGTGTGGAAGAAAATCAGTTAAGACATGTTCCCTGAAAAGCATGGCTCTTCAAATGCCTTCATATTCTAAATATGCATGTAACATCGTAAAAATCGGGGGCCGGCTTTTTACGCCACGTGTTCGTGTAGTCCCATATACATCTTTCTGTGCAAGTGTTTGTAACTTTACCAAGACTTGGCCAAATTTCTTATCATTTTGATGATTCCAGAACCTTGCAATACACACAAATTATTATATGCTAGATGATCAACCTTTTCTGGTCGGTTCCACACCGTTTCTCTCACAATGCAATCGCATGACCAGAACTCAACTTCATCTTTAATACGTTAAACACGCAAACCACAGAAGGTCAATCATTCTTGAAATTCAATCTTTATAGTTTAAATGGCCGCAGTACAATAAATGTTTTGTCCTTTTCTGTATTTGAGATAAAAGTGTATTACCATCTACTAAAGATTTGAATTCTTGCTTGCAAGGTGATGATTTTTATTTCTATTTATCTGATCATTAATTATGTTTATATTTCTCATTTTTTGTCTCTTTCAGTTGACCAAGTAATAGATGAGAATGATACAAAAGGCGACTTGCTTAAAAAAAACCCACATCTATAACTAATATAATTACCTTACTGACAAACATTTAATAGTTTAAATGTTCACAATAACATTGTGCTCTTAAAGGGGGGGGGGGTCGTCACTCTTTCATTAGTAACCGACAGTCTGTCTTGTTTAGTCTAGACATGATGTGTACATCAGCATCATGCATGATTTGTCATTAAGTTGATATTATATTATGTTTCATTTGAAATGCAAATTATCGATAAAGTACGAAATACTTATAGAAATGATATTAATAATGATTAAAGTGCTTATGGTAATAATAAAATAATAAATGATATCAAAAAAAATATTAACATCGAGAAAAAAAATTGTATTTACAGGAAGGGTATTAATCAACATCACCTTGATGTGTGGTATAGATTGATTTATTGAAAATGACAGAAACATGATTAAATTCATTAATTGGAATTGTCTATCATTATGAAACGGTCATGTGATTACCAAAATATTAAACATTTTATGTGATGGTAGTGTATAAAGCATATTCATCGATAACATTACGAGAACAAGCATTCAACTATGGCATGATGCCAGAGTTACGCGAGCAAGCTGTCGTCAGAAAACGCCCGAAAGCGTAAAGAAAGAAAGAAAAAAAAAATCCTCTCATCAATGATTATGTTTTGTGCGCCCGGGCATCCATTTTTGATTAAGAATCTATTCCCGTATATCATTATTTCATCATCAGTGATTCCTTGTTTGCTATCAATCTGAGGGGAGGTAATCACCGGTATATCTTGAGGGGTTTTGTTTGTACGCATGGCAGCTGACGTTATACTGCCAGTCATACCGGCGGGAAAGTTACCCGGGAATAGAGCTGGTTTACACTATATGGGGTGTGAAGGGGCACCCCTCCCTCTCCCCCACACACACATTATCGAAGTACTAAATGTACCTTCTGAGACATGAGTGGTACTAATATTTCATCGAATTAATTCTGAGGTGATTTCAAAAAATATATTTTTAGTTTGATTAAACAAAGGTTAAAGTAAATAAGACTCAACTTGATGATAATCATGAATAAAAAGGAGCCGTTATTAAGGTCTGTGCATATTAACAGATTTGAATATTTCCAGAGATGAAACGCAAGAAAGGAGATATTTGTAAGGACAGTAAATCAATGGCAAGTTTTAAATTATCTTTTAATCCTTCCTTACAGTGTTATTCCATCAATATCTAAAAGCAATTAGGTGAAACTATTATTAGGCCTCGAGAACAAAATAACCGTTTACGTATACTTCAAGTATGTATGCTTCGAAATCAATGTTGTCGAGATTTTATAGATTTACGTGGGAGGGGGCGTCGACGCATTGTTTCGGTGTACGTTTGATGGGAGAATCCCGGCGTTTTTAATCACCCTCAACCCGATGTTTTCTTGCTTTTGATTTCTATTGATGGTGTTTCATTAACGTAATTTGAAAAGAAAGACACGTTATTTATCAGGAGATGAAAAATGAAAGTACGAGGAAGAACAGTAGATATTTGCTGTAATCCTATTTTACACCCCCCCCCCCCTGTAAAGAAAATTGGCCTGGGGGCAAATTCGAACTTTCTTTCTAATTAGGTGGAATTAAATAACCCATGTTTGTTCACTGAGTATTCAGAGTTAACGTGATTTGAAAAGAAAGACATGTTATATATTAGAAGATGAACAATAAAAGTACGAGGAGAACAATAGTTATTTGCTGTAATCCTATTTTACATCCCCTGTAAAGCCAACAGTGCTGGGGGCAAATTCGAACTTTCCTTCTAATTAGGTGGAATTAAATAACCCAGGTTCGTTCACTGATTATGCAGAGTTCGAGATACGCGTATGCTCAGGAAAAAAAAATTCATGAATATTCTAGTGGTCGTTTGTATCTAGAACTACAAGAACTGAGTATTTTTCATGACCTAGATTCACACTTTTTACTTCTTCCAATTTGTCGTCTGATTGGAAGTTCTTCTTTCTTTACCCTATTCATTAAGTAATTTCTCGATGTCAGTACAATACCATCCGTAAATATCATTCCATTTTTTTTACTTAGTAATATAATAATAATTGTTATTACCCAGGGAAGCCTCACTAATGTTGGTGTTCCTGAGGGCGCTGCAATTGTTATTCTCCTAGCAATTTCCAAGTACCTATTTACTCCAGAGCCCAGAGTGGTAAGGGTAGACTAATGTCTTGCCAAATGACATTAGTGCCGTGCTGAGATTCGAACCCTCAACCCTTGTATTAAGAGTCAAGTGACTAAACCACTATGTCACGACACCTACATGGGCAAGGGTTATAACAAAAATGCTTACTCGAAATCCTCCATTTCCTTAGGATGATATTTTGCTTAATTCAAACATTTTATACCATTACTATACTTCAAACTCATGTACAGTAATTCACGATCCATTTAGGAGATCGTATACCTCATATAGGTGAAGAACAACGAAAAATCCAGTCCAGCAAAATTCAAGCGCTTATGGAACTTTTTTGTTATTAAGCGCTTTAGAAATATTTGTTTATTGTTATTATTGTGATGGGGTATGCAGGGACGTAGCCAGAATTTGATGTTTGGGGGGGGGGGGGGGACACATATATGTAATCCATCGACGTCCTGAGGAGGGGTCTAAAAAAGTTCAACCGATCTTGAAAATGTTTGGGGGCACGTGCCCCCCCACCCCCGTGGCTACGTGCTTGGAGGTATGAATGATTGAGAACACATAGCCGAATCGTCGTATATTAGCCTTTGTTTTCTCGATGCCTTTGGAAGTCTTCTAAAATATATAAACAGTGAAATTCAAGTAAATGATCTCTTACAAGATGTTTCTATTCTATAGATTAACAAGGTAACTTTGTATTTCGTTTGGCTTTTCTACGTGATCATTAACACTTGGTACAACTGAAGGTCTGTAAGTAGTGCTTACCTCAAGTTTCGAATCCGGTGACTCACAAGATGTACTGGCCTCTGCATCCTGGATGACAGAAGAATGATCCGTCTTTCCTTCTCCCGCTTCTCCATTCTTTGATTTGCGTTCGCACTCTTTCCTTGCTACTCGAAAGAGAAGATCATCCAGTCTTTTCTCTCTCTGCTGTCTCCAAAGAAAAGCGTTCCCCTCCCTTGCTTCGCGACCCCAAGGCTTGTCGTCAAGGAAATACCTGGCGAAGTCGGCGGGTCTAGTTGAACAGCCACCTGATGCGGGGTGATCTCGGGTAGGAAAGGATTCCTTTATGCGAAAGATATCCGCTGGACTTTGGTCGTGGGACTGGGAGGATTGTTTTGCGATGTGGTGAATGAACGAGGACGCGTCGCCGCGAAGTGAAGAATCTCCTGACTGCGACCGGAGAGACATGGCTGAGTCGGACATCTCAACCCCGTTAGCCATGACCGGGCGGAAAGCCGATCCATAGTGAAATTCCGGTTTACCAGGGATCTTAATGTCTCTGAGATTAAAATGGCGTTCAGCAAGAGAGAAACGAGCCTTCTCCCAATTCTCAAGATCGCGGAGTGCCTCATCATCTCTGGAATTGCCTTCGATGTCCGCAAGAGCTAAAGAGTCTTTGCTTAAAGAATGAACACGCTGATCAGCTAAGCCTTTCAAGTCGAACGGGGGAAGATCTCTCGGGAAATGGGACGCCATTGGAGGCATTAGACTTGGTGTCTTCGGCCAGAATGATGCGGCTAGTGGGTACGGGAGCTTTCCACCGTTAGATAGATATTCTGCATATAAGTTTCTGTTCGCAAACGCGTGCGCTGAGAACTGCTGACGGAGTTTTGCGGTACTGTTGGCGTAGAGCTGGGCCGCTGTCATCGAAGTGTCTTCCACCGATGGGGTAGATGGTCGGTTCGCCTGTGGTGTGTGGATGTTGCTACCACCAAGCGTTGTTGTAGATAGAAAGTAGTCAAGTCTGGGATCAATTGAATTTGACCTGAGCTGAACAACAGGATCTGAATCTTGGTAGTTTAATGATTGTCTTTTGCGTTTTGTCATAGGTGGACTTGACGAGATAGGATCACTAGATTGGAGGGATGGAGCTTGAGATGGCGAGGACGGTGGGTTAGATCGTTTGCGACTTCCACCATTAAACATTGCTTTGACGTCCTCCCAAGCTTGCAGGAGATCTTCGTCTGGGCTTCTATCAATCAGATGGATGTGTCGTCTCCAGGAATTAAAATTCGCTGCATCGGGAGGACGATACTTGGATTCGGCGATGCGATGGGTGTGAAAGATAAACTTATTCGGAGAGAAGTACAAGCCACAATAGCAACACTTTATACACTTTGCTCTTGAGCTGTTGTACCGTGATGGCACAAAGTCCCCTCGGCACCCCCAAGCGCATTCATGGTAGACATCGAAGGCAAAGTTCTCAGGGAGCTTCGGCGGCCGGCTTTCGCACAGGAACGACTTGCACAGTCGTTCAGCCTCACGTTTGGTTATCATCCCGCATCGGCGGGAGCTGACGGGCATGGCGCCGGCACGACGCAACATCTCCAGCTGGACTGGAGTACACTGGACGCAGGTGACACCAAGGGCCACTCTGCGATTATGGATCTCATTGTAGCTGAACTTCCTGAGGAGTGTGTTGGAGATCTGGGCGAGGCATAACCGCTCCTTGCCGTCGATGTAGATGGCTGCGATAGGTGTGCTGAAGAGAATCACGGTGTGACATTGGTTTGGTGACATCATATGGCGTGGTGTCGACCCTGGTGAAAGAGGTGAGGAAGGTGACCCAGGGCTTTCAGGGTGGCTCAGGGTATCCAGCATGGTGTTACTACTTCCCGACAGATGGGAGGATGTGAACGACTCGTCCATAGGACTCTGTAATGTTGTAACAAAGAAAGATAAACAGATCATCTAAGGTTATTCTGATTATAGATATAACTTCAAGAATAACTGCAACAGTACCTAATGACATCGGATTCTTGACCGAATGAGGCTGCGTCACAATTCTGACATAGTTTACCACCTCGTGAATAAAGGGGCACGTTTTCACAAAATGTTGTTTAACCCGACAACCCGACGCGACGCGAAGACCCGAAGGAACCAAGGAGCATAAAATGCTCTTAAGTCCTTGATGGAACGAATGGAACGAAGTACGCCGTCGTGATCTCTGGTCACTTGTAAACTTTTATGACGACGCCACAGAAATACCAGATGACATCAATTGTCAAGGAGAGGAGAGAGAGGAAGAGAGAAAAACAGAGGTAGAAGAAGAGGGAGGGAGTGGGAGAGGGAGAGAGAGAGAGAGAGAGAGAGAGAAAGAGAGAGAGAGAGAGCAAAATACTTTTGCGTAAATGTGGTGTCGCAGACAACAGACTGTTAATTCCATTTAGATTATTTGAACATAGACCCTACACCACTCTTAAAGGTCTAACGATACGCGCGTAATTAATGGGTTTTGAAGCTTATGTTTACCAATCTAAAGTGTCAACATTAGTTTCCATTTCCTGCATTCTGTAATATATACCTGGAGGGATGGCTTTTTGTCAAACGGGTTAGCATGCATTTAATGATTGGACAATACTGGAAAAAATATCGTAGACCTATATATTGATTGAAAAAAGTGATGGTGTGAGAGTATCCTCATAGTGCCAACATCAAGTATTCTTTCTTTACTCAGGGGTATAGCTTGAAATGACATCAATATTTAAGTGCTCGGGGGCTTATGGCATTAGTCGATGTCAAAATGCACTTAAGACTATTTTGTCTTACCAAGAAAAACAGAACACTTTTTTTTTCTTCTCCAAATTATACTTGTTGTGCTTTAAGTCAATAAGGCAAATTGAGGTCTATTTACGAAAACCTGATTTTGCACCGTTACCTAAACAACTTTCAGTAAAACAATTGTTTCAGAATTCTAGGGCGTTTTTGTACATAAAAGTTTATTCGATTATTTGGGTGAATACATCAGGTAGACCTAAAGACAATTTGACGCGAAATATAAATCATTTGGCTTTATTTTATCTTAACATAATAACAGAACATACATGTTGCGTAGCAGGATTATGCGTAATTATAGTAATACAATGGGACAGGTTGTTGTCGAGTTTTTGTAAAAATCAGAATGAGCTTTTAATGGGAATCTTATAGAAATCGTTAAATTTGAATAATTGAAATAGCATGTTTTTCGATAGTAGTTAGATTGCCGTCACTTATGATAATGAATACATTATGTTCTCATTAATCATTCGAAGTCATCGTGTTATTAATCAGTCCATGTTTGCCGCCCATCGAACCAACAAACGTTTAACAAAAAATGATAAGCATTTCATGTTGATAACAGGTGGTTTATAAATGGGCCCATCGATAACAACAAGTGTAAAATCACTGATGCATCTTTATATTGAGCAATAATCACAATCGAATGTTGCCGGTGTGCCTGCATGCGTGCGTGTGTGTGCGTGTAAGTGTGTGTTGAGGGGGGGGGGGCGTTTGCGAAAGCCTGTGTGTGTATATAGAGTCTAATTGTCTTTCAGCATTTTCTGGGCACATGCACTTGGGCCGGTCGCGACCTTGAAAATGTTGCCTGAATGAGCATAGGCAGTATAAATGATAGATCGTTGTAGATTAATGATCCGCAGCCACAGAAGGTTGCACAGATCGTCATGAGCACATGTAAATAGGACAATCAGTGGTTAGTAATCACTGAGACGTTTGGCACGGTACCCTCGTCATCATTTAGATTGTCATTAAAAAAACTAGATGATTAAAATCCATTGTTATCTCGCTCACCCTACCATCTCCCGCTCCATTCTCTCTACCTTCATATATCCCTACCGGCTATCCCCTCTTCCTCTCTCCCTCTATCCCTCTACTATTTCTCTCTCTCTCTCTCTCTCTCTCTCTCTCTCCTTCTCCATCCATGTTCTCCTTCCTTCCTTTCTTCCCCTGCCCTTTATTTTCCCTTTTATCTCCTTCACCCTTTCTCCCCCTCTGTCATCCTTTCTCGATATTATGTGAGATGTTCTTTTAAACAGGACGGTTTACCCCTCTCCCCCCCCCCCCCCCCCCCCCCCCCACTGACAAATACTCCTTATGAATAATAATAATAATAACAATGATAATAACTGATTATAATGATGGTAATAATATTAATGCTAGCGCTTAATACTACATTTCTAAGCGCATTACATTGTAATTATTATTATGCCGGTCAGTGGGTACAATTTGGGTTCAATTGCTAGTCCGCACATGGTAACGCACACATGCCAATCCAAACGACACCATTATTTGCATCCTACTAGGTACCCATTTACTACACCCGGGTGGAAAGTGGCAAATGCAGATTTGTGTGTTCTAAAAGGACATTGGTGCCGCTGCGGGACTCGAACCGCGAACCACGCGATCCATACTCCGATGATGACGTACCCACGAGACCACGACACCTATACGCGAACGCTCTCTTGCTGATTAGCGTTAGTCCAGCGAGTAATTTTTCTTGGGTTTTAAAACAATCAAAGCAGTTTATTTCTTAAGGATAATTCGACCAAAAAACATTTTCCCATATCATATACAATCTTAATTTCTCTATGATCTTTAATTTTGTGTCTATCACTTCAATCGATAACGTTAATAATTAACGTGTCATGTATCTAATTGATTACAAAATTATGAATATCATTTCATAATTCAAACGCGTCAAAATGCGTGATTGCCAATCGCCTTATGTTAAAAATCACAATTTACTTTGATACTAGTTGCTGTTGTTAAACCATTTAGAGAATCTTTGGGAATAGGTTAACTCACTGCATCACTCACTACAAGAATAATTACCGTGAGAGACATTTGTTTGATGAACTGACTTAACAGTATTCATTTTTTTTTGTTAGGGGGGGGGGGGCTGTCGGGTGAATTAGAGCAACAGGCACGCATCAAAAAATCCCCCTCTTTAACAATCGTCAACCCGCTTGATACACGTGGCGCCGCCCACGCCGAAATGTTACAAAATAGATCTACAAAATTCGCACTCATCATGAATTACAATCAAGCTCATTCTAGCATCGAAATGACTACAAAGTGTGTGCGTTTTTGTTTTGTTGTTACGCCCTAGTATGCCGGGTGCACGCTGGATATTAATGGTTACATATGCTGATTGTGATCATCGAAAAGACTAGATTCAGGGAGAGAGAGAGTGTGTACATTGATCAGAAAGATTTAGTTCCTTTCATGAAAATCCCATTTAATAATAAAAATAATAATCTTTTAAAGTCCACTCCAATTTTATTAAGTTAAACCGAAAATGGAAATTCTTTTTGCCCAATTGATCGTGAGCCCGGCAGCCACTGAGCAGCGCCAGATCGACGTTGCTCTATCCCTTATTGTTGAACGCCAAACAAGGTAGCAGCAACTCCCTTCTTTTAATGTCTTTTGGTATGACCGGCCCGGGTTCGAACCCACGACCTCCCGGTTGTGAGGCGGACGCTCTATACTGACTGAGCCAACACACCTACAACATCACTAGATACCCCACAATGAAGAAGTTTATGTCCGGACAGTTATAATAACAGCACCATAAAAATTGCACCTGTGAACTTGACGGAAACTTTCGATAGATTTGATCCAATATTTGGTCTATCAACAATAGTAATATTAAAGGTTTTACGAACGGATAAAGTTTGAACGAAAGAGAGGGGAAAACAAACAACAAGATTTGAGGAGAGACAGAGAGAGAGAGAGAGAGAAAGGAAGAGAGAAAGAGAGAGAGAGAGAGAGAGAAAGAGAGAGAGAGAGAGAGAGAGAGAGAGAGAGAGAGAGAGAGAGAGAGAGAGAGAGGGGGTAGAGAGGGGTAGGAGTGGGGCCCATAGAAAGTCAGACGGTGGAAGAGTCAGAGAGAAAGAAAAATGCAAAGGGGCGAGGAAAAAAGATAGATAAAAATAAATATGGAGAGAAAGAGAAGAAAAGCGAAGGAAGATAAGAGAGAGAGAGAGAGAGAGAGAGAGAGAGAGAGAGAGCGAGACAGAGAGACAGAGAGAGAGAGAGAGTGAGAGAGACTGTAAAAAGATTAGGCATAATTTGTCAAGTAATAAATCTGTGGTTTTCGGCGTTACTTTGTCCGACTCTGTACGTGATCAGTGAAAGGAACGGATAGGAGTCGGGTGTAAATCGAAATTCATCAGCTTACTTTACAGCATATAAAACAATAAAACCAAAAATTAAAAAATTTACGCATTTTAAATCTTCTAATATCTTCAAAATAAAGGGGAAATCTGGTCAATTATTGGTGTAATTCCCAAACAACTGACAGAGGAAGCAGCTGACAGCCTAAATAGCCGAAGCGAAGCAACACCACTATTTGAGACTGACCAATGCGTTGATCCGTTGTTTTATTATATTCGGTGCCGCAAAACTGCCCATACGAAGAGGAAAAAAAAAGCCAATTTGCTCTAATTCACAAAGCTCGTATAATTATTTTATAAAAGATGCGTGTTCCACGTCAAAGCTATTGCTCAATCCAATCGGTGTGTCTCAAGCAAATATGATTCTGCTCATGTCTTTGATGGTACACCAGAATGATGTTTTTGTTTTGATTTAATTTTTTCGAAATTGTTCATATGTCTTTGTTTTGTTATATCGGTCAACAAGCTTGTTATTATTCGATTCCCCTTACATTATTACCAGGAAAATTGGACTAAAAATTCACTCGGGGTTTTCGTTTACTAAATCACATTTAAACAAAAGACATAAAAGATTGCTTATATAGCGTACATTATCTTTTTTTTTTTATATACCTGACTTTATAAGCAGAGGCAAGATTTTAGATCCGCAGGCCGACGACGTATCCACTATACCACAACACCTCTAAGTTCTCATCATGCTTATAGCTTTCTGAAAACTCCTCAGTACAGATTATCCTT